TTTAAAATCTAGCTTAAAACCTAGCTTAAAATCTAGCTTAAAATCTAGCTTAATATCTAGCTTAATATCTAGCTTAATATCTAGTTTAATATCTAGCTTAATATCTAGTTTAAAATCTAGTTTAAAACCAAGTCTAAACCTAGCTTAAAACCTAGCTTAAAACCTAGCCTAAAATCTAGCTTAATATCTAGCTTAAAATCTAGCTTAATATCTAGCTTAATTCCTAGCTTAATATCTAGCTTAATATCTAGCTTAATATCTAGTTTAAAATCTAGTTTAAAGCCAAGTCTAAACCTAGCTTAAAACCTAGCTTAAAACCTAGCTTAAAATCTAGCTTAATATCTAGCTTAAAATCTAGTTTAAAACCAAGTCTAAACCTAGCTTAAAACCTAGCTTAAAACCTAGCCTAAAATCTAGCTTAATATCTAGCTTAAAATCTAGCTTAATATCTAGCTTAATATCTAGCTTAATATCTAGTTTAATATCTAGCTTAATATCTAGCTTAAAATCTAGTTTAAAACCAAGTCTAAACCTAGCTTAAAACCTAGCTTAAAACCTAGCCTAAAATCTAGCTTAATATCTAACTTAATATCTAGACTACTCTACTTTTGATATTCTTGAATTGCAGGGATGTTCAGCAACGCCAGGAATCCACTGGACAAGGTTTTGAGGGTAATCGACAACGAGAAATACCCGTTCAAGATTATCGGTTAGTTGAAAGTTCATTAAAACAGAATACGGACACATACTAGCTATTGACCATATTGCAATATGGTCAATATCTAGTATGCACAATATCTAGCAATATATTGTACTTTCCAAGATTCATCACCGACTGTAAAAGCCAAACGGTTCAATCTAAAGTTAGAAAAGTTTTAGTTATACTAAAATTGGGTAGTAGTATTACTTAAATCTAAATATATAGCTTAATATCTAGGCATTCGATTATGAGATAAAAGCTGAAAAATTCGACCTTTGTATAGCAAGAAATTCTGAAAAAATAGCCAAATCTCGCTTTTTCGTTGTAAACCTATTGATAATCAAACCGAAAATGAACAGCTCTACTTTATAGTACAAAGTCTCTTAGCCTTTTCGACAATTGTAAATTTGAATTTGCGAATTATAGTAAGAGATTGTTTAGAATTGCTTGTGGTGTGTCCACTGGTGATCACTGGAAGGAAGTACATGGATATTTCGAAATTTGCCGGAACCATCAAGACTATGGGGTGATGAGGTGAGTATTGCGGCAGGATTACTGTAGATAAAGCTAGGTCAGGTCCTAAGTATTATGGCAGGATTACTGTAGATAAAGCTAAGCTAGTTCCTAAGTATTGCGGCAGGGTTACTGTACTTAAAGCTAAGCCAGGTCCTAAGTATTGCGGCAGGATTACGGTAGATAAAGCTAAGCCAGGTCCTAAGTACTATGGCAAGGTTACTGTATTCATAAAGATAGGCAAGAGCCAAGTCCAAGAATTGATGCAAGTTTACGGTAGTTTTCAAACATCTTCTAATGACATCTTTGACATCTTTAATGTACCTCGTATCTCATCCAATCCCGATTGGCTTTTAGGAACAAGACCGGGATCACTATATGTCAGCTCACGATCGCCACCTATCAAGATCAGACTCACCGTATCAAGATCAGTATCACGCAAGGTGGAGACTATTTTTAGCAGTTCTGTTACTGAACTGGTTTACTAATTGGCTTGCTGGTTTACTAACCTTTTCCTTGTTTCAGAAGAGATTCTTTAAACCAACTCGGTTTTGCCTCACCACGACGATCACCGATTGAAGTTTATGAGCCACCGCCACAATATGAGGAATTAATGAGACTCTCCGACTTCAATGAATCGAGGACAGAGGAATCAATTTGTAAGTCTTGAGTTGTAAAAAGGAAAAGGATAAACTAAGAATAGTTTTTATAAAGATTTTGATGCCTTTCTTACTTCCTAGGCTTTCCCCGATCAATCACGAATCAAGCGCGTATTGTTCCCCAACTCATTCATCATCGCAAATCGCTTCTTCAGCACCAACGTGAGTAGAAAACATATAATTCAACCAACACTAACAGCTCTTAAAACAAATTTTCAAAAAACTCGTATTTGAAATCTAGGAGATTTTTAGGACTACTTTTTAAAATCCCTAAAAGATTTTTAGGCTTTCTGCTTTCTGCCCGCATGAGATTGGTTCAAAGGAATGGATGGTAAGCAATGTTATTTTCAATAAGATACAGTACTGGACAATGAAATATATTTAAAACGGGGTTTTAAATGGCTTATGTATGGATTTTTGAGAGCGTATGTTGATAGTGTATATTGACTACCCGATTTATGATTAAAAAGACTATATTGATGAATTTGAGTCTTATTCATGACTTACAACATTTTCGGGGCCGATTCGGGCTTGATTCGAGACCGATTCAGGGTCGATTCGGGGATCGATTCGGGGTTGATGGCAAAGGCTTCGGATAAAAATAGTGCCACTCGAAAACGTGTTCTATAAACGTTTTAAGCCAAGGGCTATCGTTTAAAACAGTTTTTAAGAAAAAGATAAATTTTCGATTCATCTGGGGACCTAAATTTTGGCCGACCGATTTTTGGCCGACCGACCGACCAGCCAGCCGACCGAAAAATAAAAAGGGGAATTTGAAGAGTTGAGAAATTCTATTAGAGTATTTATGGTATTTATTATTATTATTATTATTATTATTTAAACTCTATTGGAGTTTTAACGGTATTTATTACATTAATCTTTTGATTTTGCATTAAATTAAATAAAAACTCGGCTAATTGACTGTAAACTGCCACATTGATTACTTTGGTTTTGAAAAAATAGCTACCTTTTAGGAAAACAAAAGAAAAGCTAGCTAAAAACAATCGACAATCACTTTTTTGAGCACAAAATCATCAGATTCTAACGTAACGATGTACTTTATTTACTTTATGTACTTCTGTATTTTATCTTGACTACAAAACGGCTCATTTCTTTTTGCTTATATTGGTTGTTCGGATATAAACGAGCGTTCACACTTCTTAACTCGTGAGGAAGCCATTTCCCGTATCTGATCGCCTTTCCAATGGCGCGAAGATCCTCATCAATATTAGAATTTGAACATAGAAACTGTTGAGCAAGTTCACGCGTCGTTTGACATGGATCCGATTCGATTGCAGCCCTCAAAATATCGTTGTCTACCGCTTGAGGTCGATGAGAGTGTTCATCATCCTCGAGACTTCCGAAAGAGACGAAAGAACTCGAGACACCATTCCGAAAGCGTTGAAACCAGGCTCGGCATCAGCTTTCGAACAATACATCATTCCCAAATGCTTTGACCAAATCTCAATGGGATTCCGCTACTGTTTTGCCCAGTTTGAAGTCGTAAAGTAGGCTTATTGATAAGTAAAGTAGACGCGAGAATAAGTAGTTAGTTCAAATATAGTTCAGATAGATGCTAAAGAACAAGTGAGTTCAAATATTCAAATAAGAAAAGGGTCTGAAGGTTGTTAAAGTCTGTAGCTTTCTCTTAACGGTCAGTGAATACTCTGTAGCTTTCTCTTAACAGTCAGTGAACAGGCTGTAGCTTTCTCATAGAAATTTACGCTAAGGTACAGGTTTTAAATCTGATAATGGCTGAATGGACTTTATACTAAACTCATTTCCAATGTTTTAGCAGAAAATCTTGTACCTCTTTGAGTAAATTCGTTTTAAGTTCGCTACCAAAGCGATGAAACTATTTGATTGACTGTTCAATAGCTCTAATACAAGGTAATAGTTGAAGATTTTCAGAAAAACTTAAAAGTTCTTGACTTCTTGAAGTCAAGAAGTCACGTCATAACGTCTTGAAGAATAATCAAGGCGTACTATTAGGTTATTCGGATATAAACGAGCGTTTGCACTGCTTAACTCATGAGGAAGTCATTTCCCGCATCTGATCGCCTTTCCAATAGCGTGGAGATGCTCATCAATAGTAGAATTTGAATATAGAAACTGTTGAGCAAGTTCACGCGTCGTTTGACATGGATCCGATTCGATTGCAGCCCTCAAAGTATAGTTGTCTACCGCTTGAGGTCGACGAGAGTGTTCATCATCCTCGAGACTTCGGAAAGAGACAAAGAACTCGAGACACCATTCCGAAAGCGTTGAAACCAGGCTCGGCATCAGCTTTCGAACAATACATCATTCCCAAATGCTTTGACCAAATCTCGATGGGATTCCGCTACTGTTTTGCCCAGTTTGAAGTCGTAAAGTAGGCTTATTGATAAGTAAAATAAACGCGAACTTGCCATATTTGAAGTCGGTCATCTAAAGCAAGAAAAAAAAGATCTTAAAAATAAGAAATCATCCGTTTAAAAAGATTCCAAATATACACAAGATAACGTACTTTTAAATACAGAAAGACATGTTTTAAAAGCTTCCCTCAGATCTAAACAACAGTTTAGAAATTGATTCTAACATCAACCAATTTTTAGTCAGCGCTTTGTAGAGATTGGACAATGAACCCAAAAGTGATGGCAGTGTTGATGCAAGAGAAAAGCCCGAGTTTCATGGAGTATTTTCAATTTTTACAAGCCAATCAAAAACGATTTTGATACAGATCTTGATAAGTTCTGAAATCTTTAGAATTTGATTATTTTCAGAGCTTTTTTTTTTCACAAATTCCCTTCTTTATTCATGATTTCGTTGTGATTCTTTCAAAAAACATTAAATTTTAATAATTTTTGATATTTTTACGTAACTTTTAGTTTTTTCATGGTCATTTTTGGTTCATAAAGTCATTTTTTCAAAATTTATGCTCATTTAACTTTCCTGTTTTCTAAAAAGTGCAATTCTTTACTTTAATTGTTGATTTTAAAACCGAAAATTTGTGATTTCAATAAAGATTTTATAAAAAGTCATCAAATTTGTGAAATTGCATGATTGATATAAGCAAATTATTTTCCAAATCAGTTTCGATATAGTTAACTACATTAGCTTTTTGTTATGACTTAGAAAGCTAACGTACTCTACTGTTTAAACGATAAATTGCAATGCTACCGTACTTAGCTGATTTTGAAAGGAGCATCTTGAAAGCTACACGAGAAAGGTTATCAAATTTAATACGGCTATCAAATTCGATACGCCCCGCCTATTTGCCATTGGCAATCTAACTTTGAGCTCAAATATCTTCATGTTGAAGTGTCCGATCTAAGTCTTCTTGGTATCATTGGATGCGCCAAGTCTTTCTCTATTGATTGGTACAAAAACTATTGAACTTGGACAGCCCAACACCAAGAAATTTGAGTTCAAAGTTGGATTGCCAATGGCAAAGGGGCGGGGCGATTGTGGGGCCTTTTATACGCGCCCTTCCCCGTCGGCAACTTTGAGCTCAAATTTCTTGGTGTTGGGCTGTTCCATTTAAATAGTTTTTGTACCAATCGATAGAGAAAGACTTGGCGTATCTAATGATACCAAGGAAATTGAAATTGAACAGCTCAACACCAAGATATTTGAGCTCAACATTAGATTGCTAATGGGAAAGGGGCGGAGCTTATAAGATATCCCACAATCAGTAGAAAATGTGGTCCTATAGCGCAGGACTTTTTTCCATCTAGGGCCGCTCCTATAATGCTTCATAATGTTAGCAAGAACAGGCTAATGTTTACTCCAAAGTTTCGGACAGTTAGGGACAAATTTATCCAAAGTTCTCTTGGGCCAATAATCTTGTCTGGCTTCTTGCCTGATCTAAGCCTTGCCGCAAAACTTAGATTTGACACTTTCAGAAATATTCGAAAGGAGAGAGAAACGAGGAATCACCGAAAGGATAGGTTTTTCTCTTTTGAGATCGATGGATCGATCTTTAGCCCAAATGCCGTTCTTCAAAATCAAAAACTTTGCTTATTAAAGCTATATTTGTTTATTTACTTAGTAACTTATGTATTACTATTAGGTTGTTCGGATATAAGCGAGCGTTTGCACTGCTTAACTCGTGAGGAAGCCATTTCCCGCATCTGATCTCCTTTCCAATGGCGTGGAGATGCTCATCGATAGTAGAATTTGAAAATAGAAACTGTTGAGCAAGTTCACGCGTCGTTTGACATGGATCCGATTCGATTGCAGCCCTCGATTAAAGTTCGAGATACACAAGGCCCTTGTTATTCCACCATACTGCGAGCAGGACCTTTTTCCCATGAATGTCCGGTTTTCACAGTCGAATTTGGCCGTTCTCCTGGTCCTAGCCATCGCCATTTTCGAATAGTATTATCGAAATAGATCCACTTCTCATCTCCAGTAACGAGAGAATCAAAAAAGCCATGATCTTTAGCGTGGCGGATGAGGATTTCGGGAATAGCGACTCGTGAAGCCTTGTTTACACTGCTTAACTCGTGAGGAAGCCATTTTCCGCATCTGATCGCCTTTCCAATGGCGATGCTCATCGATAGTAGAATTTGAATATAGAAACTGTTGAGCAAGTTCACGCGTCGTTTGACATGGATCCGACGAAAGGATAGGTTTTTTTTCTTTTGAGATCGATGGATCGATCTTTAGCCCAAATGCCGTTCTTCAAAATCGTAAAAAAAAACAAAAATTTATTTGTAGAACACAAAAAAACAAGGCTGATATATTGAAAAGTGGCCCGTATATTCGATCACGAGTAAGTGAAATGAGAAGAGAAAAAAGGGAGAAGAGATTATGACAATCGAAAGCGAAAATAGGGTAAAACTAGGTACAAAATCGTATAAAGACACAGATTTCAAAGAAATTTTTTGAAATTAGTCCTGAGTGGTAGACTTGTTAGTTTTGAAGTAGGGGATATAAGAAGGGGAACCATTGAAGCCTAAAATTTCGGGACTTATTTGGTGGAACGGGGAAAATCAACAAAAGAATTGGGTTTTCACATAATAAAGGTTTATTTTAAGAAAAGCTAATGTGAAATTTAAAGGTCGATATTTTGTGGGGAAGATTTTCAAAGCGACTAGCCGTAGATGAGACGGGTAACCTACTCATAAACTTGTTCAATCTTTGATAGAAGTTAGTGCAATCGATAATACGGTAATCGATGATAGAAGTTATTTAAGAGTCGTAAGGACTAAATTCTAGAACAAGAACAGCTTACGGTAACTAAATTAGTTACCGTAGGCTGGCAAAGATTACCGTAACCCATCTACGTAATCGTAAGGAGACTAAGGTCGAAGTTAAACAAGTGATTACGGTAATGTCTCGTAAAAAACCTACAGTAATGAAAAGATTACGGTAGCGAGGCATGTTTTAAAGTTGGACCTGTGCTGGTATCCGCAAGTTTGAGGGGAATAAAATGAATGTCGTTGAGTAGTTAGACTTGTCGTTAAAGCTGTACCAGACTCAGCCACTATTCGAGCTTCCCCCTTTCCCTGTCAAAACGACCGCCAAAATAATGGCCACAGCGATGAGAATGATAATCAAAAGAATCAAAGCCGTAATGCACAACCATTTCTTTCGTAGCGCCGATTTCTTGTACTCAACCGCGGTTTTCGTATTGACGGCAGCTTGTTGAACCTCATAGCGAGCATTCTCGATATTTTTATCGATACGTTCAACCATTTCACCCTGAAAAAGGTTTAGATAAGAATAAGTAAGCTTTTAAAAGTAATCTTCTATCATCTATGTTCAAAACCGAGAAATTTTCATGTTTTACTGGCTTATGTACATGTTTCAGAGCCACTTTTTGAACTAGTTAAGGGTAAAGATAAATCTAGGCCTAGTTTGGTCTGGTTTTAGAGCTGGCCAGACTTGAGAGCTGGCCAGACTTGAGAGCTGGCCAGACTTGAGAGCTGGCCAGACTTGAGAGCTGGCCAGACTTGAGAGCTGGCCAGACTTGAGAGCTGACCTGGATCCAGAGCTGGCCTGTTCTTAGCTGCCCTGATCTCAAAGCTGGCCAGACTTTAGAGCCGATCTGGATTCAGAGCTGGCCTGATCTCAAAGCTGGCCAGACTTCAGAGCTGATCTGGATTCAGAGCTGGCCTGTTCTTAGAGCTGCTCTGTTCTCAGAGCTGGCCTGTTCTCACTCGGAAAATAGATTTTGAAAAAGTAAAAAGTTTGGAAGAGCAGGATTCGAACTTGGGACAAAAACGTCATAGGTGTGAGAGTTCATCAGACCATCCACTAGACCACCGATGTAATAGTTTGGCTTCCTTGTGGTGCCTACATAAAGAGTCCAAAATTTAGGGGGATTTTCTCCCAGATATCTCGCGATTGCGAAGCGTTCTGCAAAAAGTAAAAATAGTCCCCATGGCCGATTCTATGAGATAGACTTCTTGATTCAAAAGGTCAGCTTGACTCGGTGCCTTGCCCTTGTCAGAGCTGGCTTGTTCTCAAAGTTGACCTAGTTTCAGAGCTGGCTTTGTTCCAGAGCTGGCCTAGCTTCAGCTCTAGCCAGCACAAACTGGCCTTTGGCTTTTTGACCAGGGTGTTTTGATTGGACACTACTAGAGTCATAGTTCGGTTTGCAAAAATGAACTTTCCCAACCTGTGCATGTACAAGCATATACATATCCTCAAACATCTCCTGCAAAGTCCTCAAGCTCTCCTCCAGTTCAAGGATCTCTCCATGTCTTTGTTTCGCGTCTTCCAACGCCATTCGACCAGCGATTGTCAATGGATTGACTTCTCGGAAAAAAATCTGAAATTTTAGACTTTTTAAGAACAAAATCGATTAAAGCTCAAGAGAAAATAGCAAGAAAAGCAAAAAAAGCTTTTCGAACTCACCGCAGCTTCATGAATCCCTAGTTTTACAATCTACAAATGCTCTAGAGTTTTTATAGAAACTAGTGTCTAATTGTAAGCACTAATAAATCGAATTTTATTTTAAAGTTCTTAATCTTACTTGTTGTTGAGAGTTCAACATTGCGTCCACCTCCTCATCAGGCAAATTTTCACCGGCTAGCTCGAGACTGCGCTTCACTCGTCCTGAAGTTAGATTGGTTTTTTAAAAACCATGTAACAGTGCAATAATCCAATTTATTGATTTACATTACAGTATTTATTCCAATTCCAATGTATAAATACAGATTTGAGATTAGTTTAGTGATACTTCAGAGAGTTTCGGTGCTTTTTTTTACTTCGTAATGTTAGCAAGAACAGGCTAATGTTTACTCCAAAGTTTCGGACAGTTAGGGACAAATTTATCCAAAGTTCTCCTGGGCCAAGAATCTTGTCTGGCTTCTTACCTGATCTAAGCCTAAGCCTCGCCGCAAAACTTAGATTTGACACTTTCAGAAATATTGGAGAGAGAAACGAGGAATCAACGAAAGGATAGGTTTTTCTCTTTTGAGATCGATGGATCGATCTTTAGCCCAAATGCCGTTCTTCAAAATCAAAAACTTTGCTTATTAAAGCTATATTTGTTTATTTACTTAGTAACTTATGTATTACTATTAGGTTGTTCGGATATAATCAAGGGTTTGCACTGCTTAACTCATGAGGAAGCCATTTCCCGCATCTGATCGCCTTTCCAATGGCGTGGTGATGCTCATCAATGGTAGAATTTGAACATAGAAACTGTTGAGCAAGTTCACGCGTCGTTTGACATGGACCCGATTCGATTGCAGCCCTCGATTAAAGTTCGAAATACACAAGGCCCTTGTTATTCCACCATACTGCGAGCAGGACCTTTTTCCCATGAATGTCCGCTTTTCACAGTCGAATTTGGCCGTTCTCCCGGTCCTAGCCATCGCCGTTTTCGAATAGTATTATCGAAATAGATCCACTTCTCATCTCCAGTAACGAGAGAATCAAAAAAGCCATGATCTTTAGCGTGGCGGATGAGGATTTCGGGAATAGCGACTCGTGAAGCCTTGTTTACACTGCTTAACTCGTGAGGAAGCCATTTTCCTGATCGCCTTTCCAATGGCGATGCTCATCGATAGTAGAATTTGAATATAGAAACTGTT